TTTGTTTTAAAATTTTAATATTTATTTCTATTTCTATAATAATACTTCCTCCATTGTACGTAGGGTCTAAGGGTGAAATCACACGGTGCGAAAAAAAAAATATGTCACAAAAGCAACCAATCAGCTTTATTCTTCGTTATTCCGAATAGCGCTAATTGGTTGTTTTAATGGGCGCATTCAGCGGACTCAACAGTTGAGTGCGAGTGCCATGCTCGCTGTTATTAGTGTATTCTTTTAGCTCATCCAATCAGAGTTCTAGAAGAATATACCAATAACAACGAGTGCTCACTCAACTGTTGAGTCCGCTGAATGACGCATTCTTTGTTCCGCAATCATTTTCCGCACTGTGTGATTTCACTCTGACACTAAAGTTAACTATCAAGTTGAGATTAACACTCAACATTCAAGTCATCAATAACACTCAAGTTGAGAGTTATACTCAGGTTGAGCGTCCAAAATAATCATTAATTGAGTGTTACCTTGAGTGTACTTTTTCAGTGTTTATTAAAGTGTAAACACTCAAATTTTAAGAGTTTTTTCCGTAAGGGCTGGGCCACGTGGAACAGGAATGGCCTGGCAAGCGTCCTGCACCGCGAGCCTCAAAACGGTAAAACTCGAACGGCGCGCTTGCTTCTCTATTCGGTATATTTACAGTTTATTTATCACTACGATATATGTCTTAACATACAAGAAATACAGACCGATCAATATGAAAAAATGACCAAATTTCGAGTTCAAGGTCGATTTTAGCAAGGTTCCACGCGTTAAAATAGGTTATTACTCTCCTTCAAATTGTAGGTCTATTCGCCCTGAACAAGATCCAGTTAGAATTTTCCCGGGATCTCCTACTAATAACGAAATCGCATACTGCTTACGGGTAAGTGATGAAAAGTATCAAAATAATAAGAAAAGGTATCTTTAGATCTTGACATATGTTATCAAAGTCATGACCCTGAGTGACCTTCAAAAAGTTTTAGACGGTCACTGTTTGTTCAAAAGTTATTAACAAATAATTTAAAAAATAATGTTTTATTTCTGCTATATACTGATAGGCATACGACTTTCCATATATAGAAAAGCCAATCCCGCCTCCCTCCTTGCCATGGGGTGTACGACTTCTTATGTGAAGCGAGGCGCTTCACCTCATCTATTTAGGGGAAAATCAGTCGCCTCTTGGTTGAGGGGGAGATGGGGTGGACCTTGCTTCGCGTGGAAAGTCGTACGCCCCTAGACAAGGTGGAAGGTGGGGTGATCCTCCCTTCAGGTGGAAAGTTGTGTGTCCCTATAAACAGAGGAGAAGGAATCTCATTTCGCATGGAAAGTTCTAAGCAGGGGGAGCTGAGGTAACATTTTATGTGTATGACAGAAATAAGACATTTAAAAAATTTTATTTGTCAATAACATTTGAACGAACAGCGATAGCCCCTAAAATCTTTTAAAGATTACTCAGGATTATGATGACATTTGTTAAGGTCAAGGTCATCGGCGTGGTGTCCATTAATCCGAATAATTACCTTAAAAAGTTTTAAGGAATAAGAATGATGAATATACACGTATGTATATGAGAAGTAATAGATAATAATTCTAATCTTTGCATATGTTATGGTATGATATACGGTTAGCTAAATGGTTCTTATTCATAAATCGAAAAATAAGAACTAATCACTCGGTGAATAGGCTGCTTTCCGAAACCCATCGAAAAAAAAGTGTTGCAACCATTTTGGCCCTAATGTACATGTTTTGTGTAACACATTTAACGACTCAATCGAATCTGTGTAATTTGAGCACAAAAATGCCGTATATTTCAAACAGGAGGATATGTAAGATATCAAGCTGAACAAAGAAGAGTTAAGCACATGTATTTTGCTATACTTCATTCTTTGTCATCTTCTACATTTATGTATCATCAAATAACTATTAAGGTCCGTTTCCACCAACGCAGATCAACTTTAATCTCGGTTCAACTTAATCTTTGTCTTTTTCTAGTTCTAAAGA